GATTCCTCTTTCTCTCTCCTCTTTTCTTTTCTTTCTCTCTCTCTCTCCCTTCTCTTTCTCTCTCTCTCTCTTCTCTTTCTCTCTCTCTAAGATTTTCACTTCCCTCAGTATATTTTTTTTTCACCCCCCTGGCCCCTATTTATAGGCAACCAGAGTCACCCGGAACGGCCCGTATTGAATTCGGAACGGCCCGTTCCGAATCTTTCAAATGTACGCAAATTTTTAAACTGGAACGGCCCGTTCCAAAATCGGAACGGCCCATTCCCAAAAAGCAGAACGACCCGTTCTAACATCAGAACGGCCCGTTCTCCTTCCGGAACGGCCCGTTCTCCCTCCAGAATGGCCCGTTCCAAAGTCAGAACGGCCTGTTCTCCTTTTGGAACGGCCCGTTCTGGGCCCGTTCTCACTAAAAAAAATTTAGTATAATTTTTAAGCTTGGAACGGCCCGTTTTGCTTTTGGAACGGCCCGTTCCAAGTTACCAAAACACCCCTTATATTTTTTTGAAAATTGCGAAAATGCCATCAGTAATAAAATTACAAGAATACCCCTATACCTTTATAAAATTTACGAAAATGCCATTGATAATTAATAATAAAAAAAATGGGTATTACATACTTCGACTATATTTTCCAGTACCAGTACCAGTTGGACTATTGATGCTATTGGAAATTTAATGACGTTCGACATTGGGTTATCTTCCTTCGTATTTTCACCAAATCAACCAGCTCTGATATATATTGATGGTCACATATTACCTACCCCTACTAACCATGTCAATCCTATAGTAAATCTATATCAACTTGGGATGTGAATCTATTAATATAAGTAAGAAGAAAAATTTGTATTAAAATAAGACTTTTTCCTTCATCTAGATATCATATAAGTTATATATAGTTTTGGTGTACCAAAATCACTTTTTGTGTGAATAAATTTAACTATGGTGTGGTTTCTTTACCTAGTAATGTTTCAAAATTTAAATTATAATTGATAAAAATTTTATAATAAAATTTGTATAGTAATTTCAAATTCTGTAATAGGTATATAAATATTGCTCGACGAATAACTTGTTATATAATAATTGATTTTAAAAAAAATCATTATTTTAGAAAAGTAAATCTTATAACTCACAAATAAGAGAAAAAAATTTAAAAATTATTACGTTTATTTAATGATAATTTATTTTAAAATATCAAAACTTAATTAATAAAAACTTAATTAGATATATAATTAAAATTTAAAATAAAACAAGT